TCCCTCCTCCCTCCCACCTACATGCCCACCTGGCCCCCTTCCCTCCTCCCTCCCACCTACATGCCCACCTGGCCACCCCTCCCTCCCACCTGCAGTCCCAGGGTGGGGCTCTGAACCCTCCTCCCTTCTGTGTCTTCTCCACACCTCTCTGTCTCCTCTATCACCTTGCTCTAGTCTGTCCCATTCTAAACTAACACCCCACTGCTGACCTTGTGCCCTCTCCCCATGCTGTCCACTTCACTCTCCTCCGCAGTGGCCTCCACCAGCTGCACCTGTGCTAAGCTGCCGCCCTTGGCACTGGCCTGTCCCTAGAGAGTGCGGAGGCATGCTGGCTGGGAGAAGTCATGCCGCAGACACATTTGCTGGAGGGAGAACGGGCCAGCCGACCTGGCGGGTTGTGACGTTTTCCTCCTGCGTTTCACACTGGCCTCCGGTCAGTGAGTCAGTTCCCACCAGACCAGCACTGGGACCGCGCGCTGGGAACTGGGTGTTCTGAAGACACCTGGGGAAGCGGGCGTTGGCCCCTTGACCACGGCATCAACAACAGCCGACAACCTCGCAGGGTCCACGTGAGGTGCTCTAAAGCAAGGCCCTGGGATCAAGTCACAAGCCTCACGTCCAAGTGTGATCTTCCATGACCTCCCCGAGCTCCCTGTCCACTTGCTCCTTTGCTAGTTTTCTAATGTAAAACAGTCATTCTCAGCCACTCTCCTCTTTGCCCTCGCAGCACAATTTTATTATTCTTATATTCCTGTACCTATGTCCTTTCCTCCTACTTGCCGAAAGCCTCCTTCATGTGCCTAACAACACTGAGCAGGACGGGGAGGGCCGGAGGGGAGAATGGTGCCACTGGTGGAACCCAGAACCCAAAAGCTGAAGAGTCTCAAGCTCTGGTGTCCACGGACAGGAGAGAACAGTATATCTCAGCTCTAGCAGACAGAAAGCAAGATTCACCTTTTTTCTCCATTTTTTGTTCTCTCTGAGCCCCCAGAGGATTGGACGGTTCCCGCCCACATCGAGAGTCCACTCGGTCCACTCAGTCTCGCGCTCGTCTCCCCTGGATACACCCTCAGGAACACACCTAAAGAGACAGCTTTACCAGGATTCCCGGCATCCCTTCATCGCATCTAATCCCCGAATCTTAGCCCTCACAAGTCCACCCCTTGTCAACTTGGTGTCCATACTATCTCCTTAAATCACACCTAATTTTCAAATGGGACAATAACATAAGTTTTGCCTAACATGGTACACTATGCTGCGTACAACTGGAAACACAATGATCCCTTCCCAGAAGAGGAGGTGACGTCCTTATATGACATGTACCCCTCTCCCAATATCCCACGACTTAAATGCAAATACTATGATGTAAAGATAACATTATTTAAATGCTGGTATAAAGTCAGTAAGTCTCCTGGTACATGACAAAGAATAAGGAGGAACAAAAACAAAGATAATTGCTTAATGTGTGTACAGTATAGAGACATCCAGACGTATTCTTAACACAGCAGGGAGCACAGTTACAATCCTCGTTTCTGTAACTGGTCACGTGGTTGAAGCTGGTATTGATAACTTCCTTCTTCTACTACCCGTTCTGTGTTCCCTTTGCCTTCAGCGAGCACCTCAGCGTGTCGTGGTTCTTTACCTGGTGGAGTGACCCAGACCTTCGTCCCTCAAGAGTCTGGGCCATGTGTAGTCTTGCCTGGGTTTGGTTGTTGTAATCTTCCATTGACCTTAATCACAGGGCATGGTGGTACTAAGAGACGCCCTAAGGGATCTCCTGTTTTCCAGATATAATCTTCCTCACCTCCACTGTGAGGTAGTGTCCAACTTCCCCCTGATGGTCTGGGGCAGTCGCCCCAGACAACACCGAAGCTCCTCTCTTAGCCTGCTGATTCAGAGGCCCGAGGAGCCCAAGGTGGCAGGTGGCAGCCTTCACTTCCAGTTCCATGGGATCATTGTGGTGTCTCGTGATGGAAGCATCCCTCCCTCTGGAACCAAGACCTCTAGGCCAGCGGAACGTAACGTCACAGGGACAGAAAGCAAACATTTTGCTAATGGGTCCCTAGGGG